TTTTTTTTTGGAATCATTTTTGAACAAACCCAATATTATTGGATTGAAATTGAACAAAATAAGAAATATAGAAAATAAGCTTCAGTCGATATACCGCATAATAGCCAAGCACTGATAGGCTCTCAAAAACCGCAACGCAATCGCACGCGTGACCAATTCGCCCAAAACTTTCTGAGAAATGCTAATCGATCGATATTTTAGAAAATCTCGAGCACCAAATGTAGAACGAATGTATGAAGGAATGTGTGAAGAAAATTTTCGAAGTCTTATTCGAGAAGAGCTTCAGTGTTTGTCAACTTTAGAAAGGTTATTTTCTCTTTTTTTGACTTTTTAAAGAGAAAAAATGGGATTTTTAGGGACCAAAAACTCAGAGAATGCTTCGTGAATCGAACAAACACACTTCGAGATGAGGATCCAGGTAAACTGAATTTTTTTTTTGCTCCGTTGACTTGAATTTATGTAATTTATGAGATAGTTTACAATTTGTCAAAGCAACGTCATAACCCCGAAAAATAAACAAAGATTGTTTACTATCCATGCACTAACGGAATAGTTAGCTAAACTAGCATGGGGACCAAAGATTCCATATTTTAGCTAATCCACCAAAATCTGATTCGTACTCTTCTTATGAATGTCTGATTACTCAAATCTATGTGGACTGCCTTCTCGAACGTCAGGATAAATCATGCAAGGAAGCCATCAAGGTTAGCTCAGAAAAAATTGGAGGGTGAATTAGCGACAATCGTTGGAAAGCAAAAAAATTCTTGAAAACTTGAGGAATGTTAAATTGCTACATAAATGGCTGTAAGATGTAAATTTTGAAGTTTTTGGAATTTTCTTAGAAACCAAACGGATCTGGAAGATATTTTGTCCGGAAAACTTTCAGAAAAAAGTTGACTAAAAATTTCCCTTATGGTGATATCATCCAAATAGAGCATCACATTGTAACACAGTTACCACATGTATGTAGAAAATATAAAACAAACTATTCCTATGAAGAAAATCAGTTTTTTGTTTCAGCTGGAAATGGCAATGCTTTCAATGTTAGCAGCTCGAAATGGAAGTCAATGCGTGCTTCAAACAATCCCTAAAAAAAGACCAGCACCAGCAGGTAAGCTTTGACTGTTTGTAGTTAACTCAGGGCGCACAGGCAGACGCGCCGCATCGTTGTCGCGCGCTGACGCGCTGCGTGGGGCGCGCAGTTTTCGCGCAATTTATCAATTCATCTTGCAGGTAAATTTCATTTCAGTGCTTCCGTTAGAAATATGCGAT